GTAGTCACCAGAGAGGAGGTGGGTGAAAGGAGAGAAGAAAGTTAAAAAGTATAAACTCCCAGCTATGAAATAAAGAAATCACGGGGATGTAATGTACAACCTGGGAGTTATAATTAATAATACTGTACTGTATATTTGAGAGTTGCTAAGAGAGTGGACCTTTAAAGTTTTCATCACACACACAAAATAAGAGAGAGAAAAAGAAAGAAAACAAAACATGACTGGGAAGGGCCTGTTTGGTGTCTATCTGTCTGGAGGTGCTCTGGTTTTATCCCCTTCGTCATTGTTTCACGTGTCCTGTTACTTGGACATTTGGGGCACTATGGTCGGGGCATTAAATCTTGTTGTTCCCATGTAGGACACTCATGTCTCCCTATCATTTATCTTTCAAATTTGTACTTTTTTGTCTGGCAAATTGTCAGCACATCTGGCATCTCAACCATCCTGCCTGAAACTGTTAAATTAAGTGAGCGGGGAGACGTGTTCCACTACCTTGAGGAATGAAACTGCCATCTTTTCTTACTTTTCAAAAATTAGTGACTAAAAAGAGGTTGAGGGGGAGGGTATAGCTCAAGTGGCAGAGCTCATGCTTGGCATGCACAAGGTCCTGGGTTCAATCCCCAGGACCTCCTCCAAAAGTAATTACCACCCCTACCCCACCAAAAAAAAAAAAAAGAGGTTGAGACACTTAGGAAATTCTGAGAAGCCACAATGATAAAGATAAATTATGTTTTATGAGTGAAAAACATTCCCCTGCTTATATACACATTGTGTTTCCCAACTGCACAGCGCCTCCTGCTCATACCCTCTCCGAATCAGCCTGCTTTTGCCATTTGCTGGATCCCTTGGTGCACGCTGGACAGCAATTCAACAAAGAAAGCTTGCTTTGAATAGTGTGTAGGAGAAGGTGGTGCAGATACTTACGGCTAAACATCAGTATATGATCTAACGTCTTCCAGGTAGAGCTCAGGCTCACCTCAGTGTCTTGGGAGAATTGCAAAGTAGAGAAGAAAGTGGCCCCATTACCAAGGACACCACCGGCAATGAGGAAGGGGGAAGCGTAATCTCTCGGCTCACCTGGAAGCTGGACGGTGGTCCAGAGCCTATGCGGGGTGGGAAAGAGGAGCGAGGGAGAAGGAAAGTGTGAGGGGTGCAGAGAGAAAGAAACAGAGAGACAAGAGGAAGTTGTGGGGACTCAGAGGGACACCCGAGTGAGGCTCTAAAAGGTTGAAGGACTAGAAATATGGATCATTATCCTGTCTGTGGTCCCTTTTGCTAGTAAGGAGAGAGGAAGTTGGATGGTAGGCACTCAATAACCAAGGCTAATGAACTAAATAATTAACTGTACACTGTACAACCATCAAACTGGAATAATGCTCACTGTGGTTCTGGAATTAACTTCCAGTCCCACCTTGCCAAGATGCTAGTAAAATCTTCAGCTGGACGTGACTCTGGGGGATGTCCTTGTCCTAAGCATGTGCATTTCTTCCTGTTCTTTCATCATCCAGTTTTACTTCATGACCGGTACCAACACCAACACTTTGTTGATGCAGCTTGGGCAACACTATGGGGCAATGCAGGACCAGTTCCACTGGTAACTTGTAGAGTAAGTTCCCTCCCAATGTCCTGGGGGCCATCCTTCCCTGGGAGAGGAAGGAGGGGAAGGAGGAACTGGGTATAAGAAATGAGGCTTTGTTGGCTACTCCCTTTCTTAAAACATCAATATTTGATTTCTGTGTTAGGTCCTGGTTTTCCTCCCACCTCCCTGGCTACTCTTTCCTGGTCTGCCTCATGAGCGCCCTTCTTCCTTCTCCCAACTAAATGTGATGCCTCCCAGATTTCTGCTCCAAGCCCTCTTCCCCATACCCTCTCCCTGGGTGATCTCATCCATCCCCATAAATGGCTTTAAGGACTGTTAAAGACCCAGATCTCCCTCCCTACCCATCCCTTTCTCTTGAGCTCCAGACACATAATGTACATCCATCTGCTTCCAGCACAACATCTTAAATTTCATATCTCCATTCAAAATTCACCTCTTCTTCTCCAGTCACCTCTGTGGTCTTCATTTTCTCGGCGATTGCATTAACTTTCTTCTTCAGCTGTACAAGCTTTGGCTTGCCCCCCATCCCTTGCCCTCCTGACCTCCAAACATGGTGTCCTAGTCAGGAACATCTAACCTGCTCTCCAGCCCATGGTCTGGTCTTTGCCTATGTGAATATTCAGTCTCTCAAACTAATACGTACTGAGCATCTACTGCACACCACCCTCTGTGTTAAGTGTCATATATGCAGAACCTCATTTATTTCTCACGATACCTCTGTAGTGTAGCTATTATCATTTCTGCTTAACCCTAATCATTTCCTCCTTTGAAGCTCATGCTATGCACAATTCCTGTCTTCTGCCCTCCTGGATGCCTTACCCCCTGCCATTTCCAGATTCACCGAGGGCTTGGGCACTGGGGTCCTCTCCAGCCCAAGGTTACCATCTTCCCAGGCATGTCATTATCCTTGCTTAGTTCTTTCCCACAATGCTGGACACCCAGTTCTGGGTTTTCTCATCTTTAGTGACCTTCACCTCCAACCCTTTTCAGTCACCCATACCTTAGTCATCTGGCAGATCAGTTATCATTACCAGGAAAACCCTTTACTCTGATATAGAAGCCCTACCATCGCTCTGTGATTGAAATAACATTCTATCCTTTTAGCCCTGACAGGCAGTAATTAATTCTGGGTAAGGGCATTATGGTAGATTTCAAAATACTTTAACCTGCTTTTTGTTGTTTTCTAAGATGTCTAAAATGTAGAAGATGAATAATTGAAAAAACCCTCTAAGCATTATTTTTTTTAATTTAAAAATAAATGTCACCAACCTGCACACCTATCACTCTGTCTTTCCTGCTAGAGGGAACAGGAAGAAGTTCATATAACATTACATATTCATAGTAACACTGCAATAGGAACCTATATCGATGGAGTTCATTTAAAAGGAAGTTACTGTTATTCTTTCGGAAAGTCTCCAACAATCACAACAAACACAGTTGACATGAATCATGTTTGAGTGGCTGTATTCTGGTATGCTGAGTATGATGATTAATTTTATTTATTCATTATTTTTTACTGTAGTCAGTTACAATGTATCAATCTCTGATGTACAGCATAATGTCCCAGTCATATATACACATACATGGATTCGTTTTCATATTCTTTGTGATGATTAATTGTATGTGTTAACTTGGCTGGGCCATTATTCTGTCAAACACCAGCCTAGATGTTGCTGTAAAGGTATTTTTTAGATGTGATTAACATTTAAATTGGTAGGCTTTGAGTTTGCAGATATCCCTCCATGACATGGGTGGGCCTCGTCCGATCAGTTGAAGGCCTTAAGGAAAAAGCCTGAGGTGCCATCAGGAAGAAGGAATTGTGTCTCCAGACCTCCTCCAGACTCAAGATGGCAACATCAACTGTCCCTTGCTGGCGTGCCCTGACAATTTTGTACTTGCTGGCCCTCACAATCTCATGAGCCAATTTCTTAAATTCTCTATCTATCCACATTGTACCATTTCTGTTTCTCTAGAGAGCCATGACTACTACATTGGGCAAGGGCCAAATGTGCAGGACAAGCATTCCCGCACGCAGCACAAATGAAGGTAAACAGGACCCACCCCTGTAAATTACTTTCCACCTCGCCCCTAGCCAGCCACTTTTCTATCCCTCTAATTCCTCCTCATTATATCAGGTCCAGCATCTGATAAGACTCATTTACACTTGCTGATGGACAGATTCTACTTTAGCAGGTGTTTTCAGCCAGTGTGTGATGTCCTTAGCGTTTTAAGCTTCTTGTTTCTAAGCTGAAGAAGGAAGAGTCTTAACATTATCCTCAAATTAAGGATGTTCCACCAACAGGCAAAGAGATATGTTTCTCATAAGGCAGCCTGAGAGGAAATCAGTGTTGAGCCTTCAGGGAGGGGGCACAGCCAGGTTTTGTGGGGGTCCCTCTTTGGAAAAAAGAATATGGAAATATCTTACTTTTGCAATTTTTCAGTGATGTGTGTGTGTGATCACATGAACACCTTGCTATGGTCCCTCCCAGGGCTTTGGATGGCAGATGTAAAGGGAGGGGCCCTGAAACTTAAGCTTTACTAGCTTCAGGGTAAAGCTGGCTCTGTTTCTGGGCTTTTCAGGGTAGGGACAGAAAGAAGGGCACTGGCCTCTCCTCAGGTTGGTTCTTGCTTCACGAGGGGACTGGCCTGGTTCCAGGTCCTAAAGGAAGACGTTTCTTTTCTCCTAGACCCAGAGTGTCCCTCTCCTCCAAACCATGTGGGTTGCCAGACCCTGCTGCATTTCCATTCTTTCTCTAGTTCCTTTTCTCTGTCTTAACCCCTGTCACATAGTTTCCAGGGCCTATTTCCCTAACGTGTGCACCTGCTTCTTTAGGGAGTGCTCAGTGATACTTCACATGACAATGTGCAGCCTATTTTGCCTTCCATCTGCAAATTCAAATCCCTGTCTGCACTTTGTAGAACTTTTCAGTCTCTGATGAAGTATCTCTGTGTGGGAGGTGGTGTCATTGCAGCTGCTTTACTAATAAGTGCTTTGCTCTGTGATCACTTCTCTACATCTAAGGCCAGCATTCTCCCTTCTCCCTGCCTCTTCAGGCTTCCAAGATTGCTGGATTTATCATCTCACATCAGCAGACCCATGCTGTCAGAAGCAGTTTTCTAACTGAACCCAGGGATAAGTATTTTTACATAGTTTGCTTTCACATATTTCACTAAGTGTATGAATTTATTAGCACCACCTCTCCTGGCTGAAAAGTTCTGCAGATTGCAGAGGCTGACATTCTCAGGGTGCTTCTCGGCTCTGAGTCCCTGCATCTCCAGGACCACTGAGGTCATTTCTGTCCATGTTTCATGGCAGTTCCTCCCCTTCTGCTCCCACCACCTGAAATCAGGGCCTTTTCTTTGATCTTGCCCCAGAATCACTCACGCAAGACACGTATACGTGTATCACAGACTTTTACTGAAAGACTCTACATAACAATGGAGTTGTTTTATGCCACAGCAAAACCCAGACAACTTAAAAGGTTACAAATATGATCCTTGTTTCTTACACCGCCTTTGGGAATTCCTCCCATGCCTCTTTTCTCCCCAGACTTGAGCCCCGTTACACTGATTACCACCCCTTACTCCTGCAGGAAGTTACCTCATTCAGTTTAGATTAGAAAACAACAAAGCAAGCTTTTCATCTTGTTACCCTTAGTGAGGATAAAAAACAGGGAGAAATGAAGAAAACAGACCCCCCCCCCAACCACACACACACATTTCAAATCTTCACCTGCCGGCTCACAGGAGCGCATGCTCAGCCGCTCTGCCTCAGACAGTCCCCAGAGACCACCCCCCCACCTCCCTCTATTTCCTTATTTCGTTTCCTCCTCTTGGATCTTAAAAGCTGTCAGAGAAAAAGCACTACTCCTGTTCTCACTTCATGTAAGTCCCTGGTTAAGAACCATTCTGAACAGCAAGACAGGAAAGAGACAGGCCTGCAGAGAACAGAGTGATGCAAGTAATCCTAGGAACTAGAAGTTTCCTTTAGGAACAAGGAAGGGGTCTCCTGTGATGGAAAGCCACACTGTAGATCCCAGGACATTTCTGTGCTGTGCACACGGTGGGCATCCTCAAAACTCTCATTACAAAAGGTGCAGCACAAAGACAGAGTGTGTGTCTAGACGTCCCTGTCCTGCAGTGGGCCCCCTGCAGTGAGCCTCTCAAGCTCTGGGCTGCCCTCACCCATGGGGCACAGCTCATACTTGGCGCCTGAAGCCTCTCTCCAGGAGGAGAAGTGATGGTGCCAGAGGCTGCAGAGGCCGTAGACAGCAGCTAGCACAGCAGCTGCTAAGCCCAGGTGCCAGCAGAAGAAGATGGTAAGGAAGGCGAGGTCCATGGGGTTCTCCGCCCGCCAGGGCTGGCCGGAGGGAGGCACGTACAGCAGCACGCTGAAGTGCAGCATCCAGTTGCTGAGCACCAGACCCATCCAGGTCTTGAGCACCCAGAGTTGGGGCTGGTCAGGGACCCAGACCTCGATGGTGAGCACCAGGCTGACCAGGAAGGTGGGCACCATGAACAGGACGTGCACGCGGATCTCCAGCGTGCCCTTGTTCTCGATGTGGGACCCCATCATCAGCACCAGCACAAAAAAGGCCAGGGCCTCGGCCGCCCGCTCCAGCTTCACGTTCTGCCGCGCCTGGCACGCCTGGCTCACGATGTCCACCACGCCGCTGAGCAGGAAGAACCCGTACATGGTGACGTGCTGCCAGTTGTCCTTGAACACGAACGGCCGCCGCGGGTCCTCCCAGTCCACCATCCTCAGCCGGCTTACTCCGAGAGGGTAGAAGAACTCGGGGAAGATGCCTATCAGGCTGATGACTATCTTCACCACTCCTTCCACAGGGAACAGCTGCCACCACCTGTGCCCTCGCTTCTCCCTTGGGGGCAGAGGGGGTCTGAGGAATCTCTGTCCCCGTAGCAGGGCCAAGGACGTCAGCACCGAGTAGTAGAGTGAGTAGAAGAGGAAGAATGACCCTGGGAGCAGGTGTCCCTCGAGGGTTCCCATGGTCTCTGTGTGTGTCCGGGGACCACCAGGGCGACAGCTGGGGATGAGCAGTAACCTCACAGATGCTCCTCACAAGCAAGAGTGGCTGCTTCTGAGCGGTGGGGAGATCTTCCTGGTGGAGCCCCGCCCTTGCCTTCCATGCAGGGAAAGGCGCCGGAAGCATCTGAGTCACTCCTGGGTGGGATCTTTTCCAGCCCTGTGATGTGATGGTGTGCACCGCACCTCACTGTGTTCCTTACTTGGGTGCTAGCCCTGGGATTTCAACCTCTGCCCCTTACTGCAGGCACTGCTTTGCCTTTTCTCCCATGGCCTCCACTCTACCCCTCCTCAAGTAGGGAGGAAGGAGGGAGTTAAGTGCCCCAGCAAAGAGGGGTGGTGGTTGATTCTCTTCTATTAACTGTCAGTGCCAGACATGTTACATAATGTTTTCTCATTTAAATCCCTCAACAACTCTATGATGGAGTTATTGCTAAACAAATTTTACAGGTGCCATTAAGGCTCAGAGTGGGGAAGAGACATGCACGAGGTCCCAGCTAGCAGCCAGCACAGTAGAGCCAGGAGGGGGACCAGGTCTACTCATCTGTCTACAAAGTCCTGAGTTTGTAAAGGTAGCAAAATGGCTGAATCTCATCTCTAACACTTGCAAATCACATGCAAGTTACTTTGTCTTCTTGAGCTTTGGCTTCCTGATCTGTGGAATGGGAATCATAATTACTTCATAGGTTTGTGAAGGATTAAATACAGACATACCTCATTTGATTGCACTTTGTTTTATTGAGCTTTGTGGATACTGTGTTTTTTGGGGGGAGGGGTTTGTTTTTGTTTTAGTTTATGTTTACAAATCGAAAGCTTGTGGCAACCCTGTATCAAGCAAGTCTACTGGCACCATTTTTCTAACAGTATTTGCTCACTTTGTGCCTCTGTGCCACGTTTCGGTAATTCTCATAATCTTTCAAACTTTTTCCTTATTTTGTATATTTGTTATGGTGATCTGTGATCAGTGTGATCTTTGATGTTACTATTGTAATTGTTTTTGCATTTTTTTTAGCAACAAAGTATTTTAAAATTAGGGTATGATTTTTTTTTTAGACATAAAGCTTTTTATTGCACACTTAATAGACTACAGTATACTATAAACATAATTTTGAAATGCACTGGGAAACCAAAAGATTTGTGACTTGCTTTATGGCAGTATTTGCTTTATTGCAGTGATGTGGAACTGAACCTGCAGTATCTCTGAGGCCTGCCTGTAGAATATGTATGTAGAGTGTCTGATACGTAGGAAATACTCAAAACATGATGCTGATTATTAGTAATTTTACTATTGTTAATTACTAACATTCCTTGCTAAACTCCTATGATGCTGAAGTTGTTCGAGTATTTCTATGAATGATACCGAAGCAGGAATCGTAAAGGAAAAAAAATGAAAGACTTGATTATATTTTAAAATTGTGAAGTTTTTATTAATAGAAATTAAACATTGTAATTAATAATTTATTTCTGTATTAAAATTAATGTTATAAAACAAATTTCAGAAGAGAAACAAACTGTAAAATTTTACTCTGAATGCAACAAAGTATTAGTCTTCTTATAGTATAAAGATCTCTTACAATCAAAAAACTGAAAATGAACAGCTCCGTAGGAAAATGGGCAAAGGATATAAAGTGGCTATTCATCTAAGAAAAGCTATAAATGTTTAAGAAACCTATGCAATCCAAGATAATGACTCTCACTGATAAGCAAATGAATAATAATAAAATCAACATGATACCTGTTATGGACTGAAAGTTTTAGTGGGCTAGACAGTGGCCACTGGAGCCTTGGGGATGGGGCTACCTGGAGCTGTGGGTAAGTAACCTGCCAAGTAGAGGCACAGAGCTGGGGAGGTGAGGGCAGAATGTTACAGACTGAATCTTTGTGTTCCCTTTAAATTCATATGTTGAAGCACTAACCCCTCAAAGGGGTAGCTGGAGGTGGGGTCTTTGGGAGGCAATTAGTTTTAGATGAGGTCATGTGGCTCGGGTCCCCATGGTGGGATTCATGTCCTTACAAGAAGAAAGAGACCAGAACTCTCTCTCTGCCATGAGAGAACACAGAGAGAAGGTGGTATTCTGAAAACAAGGAATTAGGTCTTTGCCAGGAGCTGAATTGGCTGGCACCTTGGTTTTGGACTTCCCAGACTCCAGAACTGGAGAAATAAGTACCTGCTGTTTCGACTACTCGGTCTGTGGTGTTTTTGTTATGGTGGCTGAAGCTGACTAATACCTTGACCCATTGGTTATTTAAGACTGTGCTGTTTCATTTCGACAAATCTGTGAATTTTCCAATTTTCCTTCTGTTGTGATTTCTAACTTCATCCCATTGTGGTTGGAGAAGACATGTGGTATGATAGCTGTCTTTTACAGTTCTGAGACTTGACTTGTGACCTAACACATGGTCTGTCCTGCGGAATGTTCCATGCGCACTGGAGAAGAATGTGATTCTGTTCTTGTTGGATAGTGTCCATACATGTTTGTTTTCAGGTGGAGGCCAGTGTAAGGGAAGACCTTCCAACCGACACAGGTTGCAGCACATGCAGATTTATTATTGCCTCGTGGACCCAGAGGTAGTAAATTTCATGGAGACCATATCAAGTCCGGGTGGAAGAATCACAGTGAAGACTCTAATTTTGGAGCAAAACCATGACCATGTGGGCAAGCGACCATCCATCCTCATTCTGAGAAACTGCTCTTAGTGTGTATTGGGCTCTTCTGGAGACTGAACACTCTCCATATCAGACACCAGGTAACCAAGTGATCTGAGTTTTTTCTAAGTCTGAAGTCAGGCATGCATGACAGCGCTCCACTATCAAACAGCTATGGTACAATAAGGCCAGGCTCGAGCATGACCTGAAAGCACAAATAAGTGATGTGAATGTGTTCCTCACATTTCCAGCATGCTTCCTCCTCCCTCTCCTCCCTCAGCCAACACCGAGGGCCACGTGTAGGGCTGTCAGTGACTACTTGATGAGGGGGACACTTTCAAGCTTGGTTCCAGATGGCACTATCAGGAAAGCACCAAGCAGTGCTGTAGTCCCACTCCAGAGGGTCCTAAAGATCAACAGAGCAAAGAAACATCTCCAGGGAGCAGAACTTTGAACAGAGCATTTTTTATTTTTTAATTTTCTTCTTTTTCTGGAATGTCTCAAAGACCATTCAAATCCTGGGTAGTGGTTAATATCTGGTCATATGATCAATAACCTAGAAGAAATAAAATTAGAGGATTTATGACAAAAAAGTTTGGGGAAGAGTTAATAGCTCCAACTCTCAGAATGGACCCAGGATGTGTGTGTCTCATGTGAATGCTCAGCAAAATACTCTCACGGTGAAGGTGTTCAGTAACCAGGGACCAGGACAGCCCACTCTGTGGATGGCGTTCCGCTACCTTCCCCTCCACTCCAGTGTATGCTCAGTGGGCTCATGTACCGTGTGGCCATGGTGGCTGGGGTGGAGCTTATCTGTGGCCTTAACAATACAGATTTCGCCTCACAGAAGATGATGTATTTCCTTCTACTCCTCAATATTAATTAAGAAAAGTGGTAAAGAATGATAAATAATAAGCCAAGAAAATGCTAAGTCTGCTGCACTAGTGAATGGCTATAAAAAGTATTTTTTCCCATCCTAGCAACACTAGACCCTGAAGGTTCACAGTTTTAGCATCAAAGGGGAGAATATACCCATCCAGGAACTTGTTGATGATTTCATTGAACAGGAAGCTGAGGCAGTCACATGGATGTTTCAGGCTCCTCAAGGCACAAGGCAGACAGGCAAAAAAGGAGGCATATGGTGTTTGCTGTTGCAAGTGATTCTGATTAAAACAGGGATGTAGAATTGCTGCTACACAAGGAGACGGGGAGGAGGGATGCGGATGAAACTCAGGTGCTTCACTAGGTTGCCTTCCAGTGGTAGTTAAAGGAAGATACTTGGTAGGTGAGACCACCAAAGGCTCTTTGATTCATTTATTCATTCAACTGTGCATACTGCTAATGCCAGGTCCTGATGATACGATACTGAAGAGAGACAAGAAACAAATAAATACACAAGTAAACAAGAAAAATGGTAAAAGATGATAAAGGATAAGCTCTCTCCCCTCAAAAAAAAAAATAAAGCTATTGCAATAGTGAGTGACTCATTCACATGAAGCCATCAAAGAAATAACATTTAGACCAAGATCAAATTGGCATTAAGGTCCAGCCTTTCAATATTCGACAACGTTTGGGTCACTCTATCATATAAAGACCAAAGGAAGAGACGAATGAAAGCAAAGACCCAAGTAAACCCATCTCCCCACTGACAATGTATGCTACTTCCAATCTTTCCAGTAATTTGTGTCTCCTTCCAACTAGAATCAGATTTTTGTTTTTACCATCAAGAACCTTGATAGGGGCACTCCAGGTAGTAAGGCCATAGGTAATTTGTCTTTCCTTTTTCTGCATTTTACAATGAGCAAGTATTTTTGTGTTCAGAAACCATCTGAAAATTTGAAATCAACGATGCCAACTATTTAAAGCATGGAGGAAAAGCTTGGATATCAAGACATCAAAATGTGGCAAGTTCTGTGAGTATATTTTAATTTTTTAGTTTTTATTTTGTTTATTGAAGTATAGTCTGTTTACAATGTTGTGTTAATTTAAAAAATTGGAGGGGGGTAATTATGTTTGTTTAGTTATTTATTTATTTTAATGGAGGTGCTGGACCTTGTGTATGGTAAGCACAGCCCTCTGCCACTGAGCCACCCACTCCCCCCAAAATGGGGCGGATTCTGGATGGTAGCTCTAAGGCAAATATTAATTTGTGTTGAATTTTTGTTTTGTATTTTTCAACTGTTCCATGAAGCTTTATTAATTTAATTTTATGATAAAATTAGCATTAAAACCTTTGTAAGAGCTCTCTTTAGTCATCAAAACATTTCTTTATTCATGTATATTTATGTGTAAAATTATTTATAAGTATACATATGCAATACTGACAACTTTTTAAGACACCAAAAAGTACAAAGACAAATAAAAAGAGTAATATAACACAGCAAATGCCAATACAGAATGCACAAGTGTTAACATT